AGTGGCATTTTTGTAAATGGACACCCCTAAGTGGCATTCTTGCAAAWGWRMAMAMAAAAAGTGACATTTTTGTAATTGCCCCATGATTTTATCTCACAATGTGTTTTTCTCTTTCTTTTTCTATTATTATCCTATATATATTAATTGAGAAGACACTAGGTGAAAAAATCTTATGTGTCACTCAATGAAGGTTTTAAGAGACACATCATTAAAATTGATCAATCAAAACATTTCAATTAATATTATATGCTATGGTGAAATTTCCACATAATTTCCATATAACATTACTCATTAATATATGTCTTATAAATTATCCAATAAACATAATATTTTAAATTAAAATATTACATAACATATTTTTTTAAAGATTAATAATTTTAATTGATTTTAGTTTAAATTTAGTTTATAAAATTATATTAATGTGCATTTATATACCATAGAAGCAGAGTTGTGAAAAATTTATCAATATACATTTATATCATAGAAATTAAATTCACCTTATAGAAATTATATTAATATCTAACGAATTATTATATGTATCATATTTAATATTTTTTTTATATTTGTATATTAAAAGACTTTTACATACTAAAACATGATTTTTTTTCTTTGATTGAACTTCTAAATTTGTATGGATTATTTTATTGATCAAATCAGTCTTTGCCGTATTCAATTTATACCAAAAATGTTTACATTTAAACTTAATGTTATGCAACTACATATTTGTTAGATAAAATATATTTAATTAACTATATGATAGATGTATCATATAATATATTTCTAAATTTTTTTTATATATTAAAATATTTTTTAATATCGCTCTTTAATCCCGCATTTACCGCGGGTCAAAAATCTAGTTCATTATCATTCAAAAACTTATATATTCTTCACCTAATGGGCTGGTTAAAACATGATAGAGGGGAAATTAAGTTTCAAGGTTTATATTTTTAAACCAAGAAAGAACGTTTTTCTTGCTTGGACATGACTCATATGCCACCTTTCTTAGGA